GTGTCCCCCCAGTTTTTGTGGCGACCAGTCGAGCCGGGTCGTAACAATGCTTTTCATGGATAATTCACACTGTATTACACTTATATGGACTGTGAAATAAATTCAAGGAGGGAAACCTGAATCTTAAAGCATTATCTTACATCTTTATTGTGAAATGCAAAGAAATTGCCATTTGATTTCACAAGTAATGGTGAGGCCATCTGTTGTGTGATCCCTCATGCTTGCTCTTGCTTCCTTTGTTGATGCTCTCCGTTGATGGTGGGAAATGTTTCCACCAGCCAGCAGCACACACTTTCATTTCCGTGAATGCCCAGCACCAGAGGCTCTGCTGCGTGAGGAAAAGAAGACGTAACTTAAGCACCATGCAGAGATCCATCTGCTCTTGGCTGTCCCCCTGCGGCCCCACCCTCATGGATGCTACTCACATCCCAGTTCTCATGGATGTTCGGGTGCCAAGCAGAGTTCAGATGGCTCACAGCAGGAGTGAAAGAGCAGCTAATGTATCTTTCTTTCTGTTTTTTTTTTAACAAACTGTTTTAGAAGTGGATTAGCGTTGGCAGATTTGTTTTAACTTCCTGTTTTCATGTAACAGCAGATACCAATGGCTGACTGGGAGTTACTGAAAGTTAATGGATCAGTTCTCAACCGAACAGGACAAGCGTTTTTCTCCCCTTATAACCAGTTCAACCATGATAATGGCAGCCACCTCATTGCTCCAGAACTCCACCTATAGAGTAGTGAATGAGAAAATAAAGGAAATGCAGATGAGACTGGAAAAAAAACATTTTTCAGCTGAACATTTACTGCCTAATTAGGGTGGTATGGACCTATTAGCAGGAATGTGGCTGTGTGTTTGCATTTCTTTATCGGTATCAGCTGGGGTCTGTAAGGTTCTGCCTGTAAGTCTCTGGGAAAACTTTATTCACCTGTCACTGACAGGGAAGTTTGGCAGACATTAAAAGAGAGATTTTTAGCTTATATAAGTCACAATGTTTTTTTTGTTTTTTGTTTTTAGAAAACTTGGACGCAGATGTGGATGAACTATATTTATCTGAGTGTACCAGTGTTCAGTTAATTTAATTAATTGGGTCAGTTTAAGTGGCAACTTAATTCCATTCATGATCCAACAAAAGAGGTTGCCATGGAGCCAATGTGAGAGCGTAATGATGAGGAAGGAGAGGTGAAGATGAATGTGGAGAGAGCTTTTAGTTTAGAAATACATTTGCCCGAGTTTTAAAGTTGGTAAAGGAGGATGCTGATTAACCTACATTCACATTACCAGCTGTGTTGTGTAATTCCATTTCTGTAAACATTCGATTTGATGGCTCATAAAAGTGCACATCTCATGAATGAGTTAAAGTGAATAAAACTTGCTGATGACGACACATACATGCTCACTAGATTCCGTTCTGCATATTTTTCAAAATGCGCACAACCAAATCTGAAATTGAAGCCACAGAATCAAATCTTAGGGAGACATTCAACTCTGGATCATAGTAAGCATTTGACCGACTGTACAGGGAACAATTGAGAAAGAAACAAAACATCAATGAACAGCTCGTGCATTTTTGGGGCTATTTGAGCAGTGTAGTAGTTCTGTAGGTTTATTATAACCACACCCTGTATGTGCATGTAGGGAAAAAGCTGAATGGAATCCAATATGATTCTTCACTGTGCATCACCACACGTCAGATATTATAAATATCTGATCTTGGAGCACACTGTAAAGAATTGGTATTGATCAAATTTCTGTGTCCAGTCAGCCCTGAAAAAATATATATCTATAAACACACACACAAACACTAATATAAGTGGCTTAAAAGAATATAAATTTGTCAGTTACTTCAGTCTAGTACTGTGATATAAGATGTGTTTTACTTTGTTTTTGTGTTATAATGTTTAATGATTTTGTGGGTTATAACCATGCTCATACTCATATACATGGGACATAAGAAAAAAACTCCTAATTCATATCCATGTGATAATTCTGACTTTCTGTCTGATGTCTAACAAAGCTTGTATCTTATTCAGTCATGCCAATCAGTATTCTGCCATCAACACCAACTCTGTACTGACCTTTCAGATCTTGTTAAATGTAACGCATCCACTCGTTTGGTTTGTGATCATGAACTTTCAAAATCAACAGTATCCTCATTGGACCTAAATGTACTTGATGCTAATAAATAATTAATGAATAAAAAGATATTGAGGCCATAACTGAGAAATTGTAAGGATGTTGGCTTTTAGAATAAATGCTGATATTCTCCCAGTATGACAAATGACAATCCACTGTCAAAGCATTGCCTCTTCAAATAAGACCATGGCTACGCCTACATTCCAGTTCTTTAGAATGGAAGAATTTTCAGGGTAGCTTGCGAACATGTCAAAGCCGAGCAAAAATAGACTCCACTTGCCTCCACAGAAACACATGCCTTTATTATGTCAGCAATCCTGCAGCTGGAGCCTCCATACAGTACAGCACAATCAGACTTTGGAACTGCAGCCTTACCATAAAATGGAACTAGGCCTTCAAATGAAGTCTCACAAAGTGTGCTATCTTTTTACTTTTCAGCTGGTGCAGTGAGGGAAAAAAAAGTGATTTTGGACGTATGCTTAGGTTTTTTAATTATACAGCTTTTTGCACCTTGGGAATACCCTGTGTCAATAAATATTTTACTCACTCGAGGAAGCATGTTATGAGCTCCAGCCTGCATAAAGAAACTGTAAAGATTGTGTCTCAAAAAGGACATCTTATCTGTCTATGCGAGGACTTGTTTACTGCAGGTGTGCCATTTACAGCGCGCTGCTTTGAATGTGCTCACTTGTTCACCTAAAACGGAAAAGGGCCATGGTCAATGATCTTAGCTCAGACAAAAGGGTTTATACAAGAAGAAAAGTCATGCTTTTCACTGGCTTCTAGAATACCTTAAGGTCATGCGGGCAGATTTCACTCCATACTCAGCTGCTAACTGTCTCCTGATTAAAGGCTTATCTTCAAAGCATGACCATGAAAGCGGTATTGATCTGTAGATCTTAATATTAATATCATCATCTTTACCTTCACTTTTTTCTGAAGGACTGCTCAAATGAAAAGATGAAAAACAAACAAAGAAAAAAAAAACACCGGCACACCATAAAATACTGACTGGTATTTTTTTCTTTCTCTCAATCAGGTGTAAGCAGCTGACTTACCCAGAGGACCTTTCTCAGATCTCAGTGGTCTTCATCTTTGTGAACGAGGCGCTGTCGGTGATCCTGCGCTCGGTCCACAGCGTGGTCAACCACACACCGGCACACCTGCTCAAGGAGATCATCCTGGTGGATGACAACAGTGACAGTGGTGAGAGCTTTAACGGCTTCATTAGCGGAGTGGAAACATAGAAAAAGACTCGCCATTTCCACATCACTTTCAGAAATTGCTTGCAGGTCCCATGAGCAGCCTTTGACTTCTGGCCCTTGATACGCTCTACAAGACACAAAATGACAGCAGAGAAAAGGGCTCATTCCATTTCTTTTCTACCATTTTCTTGCTTGGCCATTTTTTTGTCTTTCCTCAGATTCTAGATCGTGTAAGCTGTACATTTTCTAATACTGTGACTCTGCCCAGTATTTTCATTCACTTGTCTTCTCTGGTAAACTAAGATATCATATTCAAATAATTTAGTATGATTATAGGGCATGTTTTAGAATGTGTGTGTGCGCTATGGTTCTCTCGGGGTTTGGTTTTGTGAGTGACACTTGAAGGGATGGAGAATCCATGAGGGCAGAGATTTAATCACCAGGCTTTGAAATAGATTTAAAGAAGGGGAAACAGGATGGGATTAGTCTCATCCTAATTCGAGCCGCAGCATATGACTGTCTCCATAGTGATGTGGGCAAATCCCTCAGTTATATCAATGCTGCTGACAATGCTTGCTTCCACTTCCCAAAAGATTTCCTGTTTGGAGAGAGAGGGACAGTGAAGTAGATTACAGACCACATTTGGCCCTTCTTCACTTGGCACAGGGCAGCAAACCTGCCTCCCTCAGGCTGGCAAAGGAAAAGGGTGCATAAATAACCCACTGAAAGAAGGCAGAGCGGGAGTCACCACTGGCTCATCTCTGCTCCCCACTGGGGCTCTAACAGCCTTCCATTAAAGAGGGAGCTGTTAAAAGCCAGTGAGCAGACAGAAATGGAAAACGACCCCCTCTCCTCATTATATCAATCTACTCCTCACATATAACTCATACCAGGGTTTTCTGAAATGGATTTTTTAAAGAACCAATCTCTTTTCATGTCGAGAGCTGTAATATGTTTAGTACTCAATTTTCCGATAGTATAACTCTTTTCTTTTCCACGATATGCTATTGTTGTAATACTACGTGACAGTGAAGTGCCATTTAGATGCTCTTCTAGTTCTAAAATATAGATTTTTTAAATAATAGAAATGGTGTGAGGATTTAGGACCGCTGTTTTCAGGCCAGTGAGAGACATCCCAATGGTTTGTTAGATCTATCTACTCACCTCTAAGTAGAAAAAACTGACAAATTGAAGCAGATCCACAGACATTTAGCATTTGTGTCCAGCTCCCAAACATCACATAGAAAGGCTGCAGGCTGTTTTCGCTGCTCATTTATCTTGTGCATTCTTGAGAGAAAAAAAGGCAACCTACAGGTCTTTATCACATTTGTCAGATGCTGGGACTCAGCGTGTGAGGGTCTGTGAGCGGGTTCTTGGGAGCTGCACCGCCTTGACATTAGACCAGCAAAGGCCGAGCGCCATGACCTTTCTCGGATGGATCTCTGTGTCTTCTCTGATTTAAACAGGGCTCAGTATGATGCATGGCGTGGTAATTATCTCATAGGAAGCATAGTCGCCGTGTCACTGTGACACTTTCCCTTTTCAGGTACAGCCATGGACGTTTGTTGGTGGCCAAAACGTTCATTCGCAGCAACAGTTCCAGAAAGCTTCAATAAAACTCGCTCTTCAGTGGATGAGCGTTGTCTTTATGTGTCTACCAGAGTGACTATTGTTGTACATAATGTTTAAGCAACATAAAGGCTTAATGAACCCTACAGGATTTCATTCCAATACCACCACCAAATTGATAACCTAATGATTCATATAATGAAAACAGGACATAAACCCAACAATAGTAGAGCACAGCTTGTATTATCAATTTCAAGTGATGATGAATTAATCAAACATTACATACATTAAATCTGATTCTACCTCTGAATTGCTCATTAATGCAGAATAAGAAATTTGCCGAACACACATCTAAAATAGATGAATGTTGAATAATTTTCATTCATTCCCCTTTTAGCAAACTTTTACAACAGTGTGACGCAATCAATGAGGTGAGCAGTTCAGTGAATGAATGGAGATGTTATTACTAAATAATATAGTATTGGCAGTGCAAAATCTGTTTTTATAACATTTTTACACCTAAACAGATCTCTGCAAAGTGTTAATGAATGAGAAAATGAATATAAATTAAGTCATTGAAATGATCTGGCCTCATATCTGAGTGAAAAACACACCTGATTTGCAGTCTAAGAAGCAAATCAGTGCTACAGTATATTTAAAAGAATGCATGTTCAGTATAAAGAGATTGCCAGTAAACTAACGAGAAGCCCTGTGTTGCATCAGCTCCTTTGTAATAACATTTTGGAATGACATTATGAAGAATTTCACCATAAAATGCTGGAATCAGAGTCACCGTAATTTATAAGGCTGTCCTTACAGAAATGATCCCATGGGCATTTGTTCATCCAGGCAGATCAACCTATAATTATGTTCAAAGACTTTGTTCAGAATGTTCTTTCAACAAATATTGCTTTCACTGTGTAAAATTGTGTCCATTTATGAAACAGTGGCATAATACCAACTATATATTGTGTTCTTTTTAAATACAAATATTCTTTATTTCTCAACCTGTTTCATCTACTCTGTTTGGTTAGACTTGTTGTTTTATTACATCAGCGTCTCATGTCATGGATGCCATCTCCAGTTTTCTTCACTTGAAGCCTGAAAAAATGCTTTATGATCAAATGTGCGCGCTCGGAAGTATTCTTCAGGTTCCTGCATCACAAATACCAGTACCTGTGGATATTTTAGGACCTCCTTGTTCTTTGGAATAGGAGCAACTCTTCATAACTGCTTACATGACTATATTTAACCATTTTAACTAGCTACTTAAATCCAAAGGTATATTAATGTCCTTTTATCACATCCACACGGTGAATTGTGTTCATTTAAAATAATACTGTAACAGTTTTTTCCATCCAACTGGAGTGAGAGAATAGTGACCCAATCAACCCAATATTCTGCTTAAATTTGCTCTGACCAAAGCTCAGAGGAAGAGTTGTCAAATCTCAAATCAATTTCCAAAATCTTCCAGAATTCTCCTCATTTAGGTGGTAATGGGTTTATTCATCACTCCAAGAGGCCTGCTGCAGTGCTTCATCCTGTGAAAAAAAAAGTGTCAAAATCAAGAAGTATTTTAATCTGAAATTCAGCGATCGATATTTAGCGAATGTCCCGCAAATACTGGGCGAGTTTCAGGCAATCCAGAAAATACAAAACATGCGAAAACGGTTTGCTTGCAAATGGGAATCTACACACATCAGTCTCTGATACCCTGTAAGATATACTGTATTTTCAGTATCAAATCAAACTTTTGCTTAAACCAAGCCATGAAAGCGTTAAAGTTTTACTATGGATGGTTGTTATATTTACATCTAACCTAGGCAACCCATGGAATAGTTTCCATAATTGGTTCATTTTATAGTTCATGATTAATTTTCTGAATATATTTATTACATTTCTATATTATATATCTTATTGCATATTTGTTTTTTAAACTAAGTTTAATTTGATCACACGTTTCTTTCGTTCATCACAGTTTTTTCCTAGATAATTCTGTCCCTGTTTATTTTCTTAAGAGTCGTTGTTTTTGTGTCTTTATTTTCATACCCTTGTCTCTGTTTCCACATTCCTGTGTGGATTTCCAATAGTTTAAACGAATGACAGGGGACTCTTTCAGAGTGTTTCATCAGAGGTGTTTCACAACACAAACACAGAAATGATTCATCAGGGGTTTTCATACTAAATTCAACATACATTAAAAATTGCAGCACTATGAAATGATGCTGCAGAGCCAAAAAAAGAGTGCAGAGATTATCTTTTCATGGATGCAATATTTGAAATTACTTTGAGTGTGATTATTTACCTCGTATTTAAAGTATCGTGATAAATGCAGTCATCCCATCATGAGGACTTTGAAATAAGTTTGTACCAACGTGAAAACACTTTCCTTTTCTCTGCTTTCATCCTATTTAACTGTAGGCTGAGAAGAAACAGGACCCTTTGGATGCTTTGGACTAAAAGATATGTTGCAGTTCGGCTTTATCAAACACAATACTTGCTTTAATTTCGAGTAAAATAGCTTCTGGTTTTACATTATTTAATGTGGCCACTGTAGTACAGAATAAAAAGGTGACAGATTCCAATTATTTTACAATAAATTTTAAAACTATTCATTCATTTCATCTATTCATTCATGAGTTTAAAGGTTTGTTAGCTTTGGGAGTAGTAGAAAATATACCTGATGTGTAGATCCATTCATTTCAATTAATTTCTGAAATAGCATAGTTTTTGGATGGCAAAATATCTGCCCCTAAATGTATACATTTGTTTGAAGAGCTTGTGCTTTCAAGAGCAAAAATGAATGTGATATAAAAACAAAAGAAAAAGCACTGGGTAAGCATCACTGGGATTTGTCCAGTAAATTTAATTCCGTTTACAAAGTCTTTCTTAACTGTGGAGAAAAGGCACTACTGTAACAGTGTTTCACTGTTGGAACTGGTCAGGATGAGCAGTATCAGTTTCCCTTTTCCTTATATTTAATTCATCGTTATATGACATAGCGAGCCAGTTCACATGTATGTCCACTCCACTGTCTGCCCATGATCAATGAAAGTAGTCAATATTTAACCTGTGTCCAGATCAGTGTCTGGGACAAGTCCATAAATCCACTCAATGAGAAGTGTGGCCTGTGCTTTTCTAGCAGAAATTAATCTCTTTCCTTTGAGGGGGATTGTTTACAGCAGAAAAAATAAAAGAAAACATAGATACTAGTTCTGCTGCAGGTCATTTATTTTGTACTAGAAAGTTCTAGATAAAAGTGTTCCGGCGTTGAGTGAGTAACCTCACAGCTACATATCCATGAGGTCTTTAAAACTTTTCATTTACCAGCTGCCATCTATTCTTAACATAACAGAATCGATCGTTCTTTATGTTCCCAGCAGAGGTGCACCTCACACACTACAGTGAATATCCATTTAATTTGATAGTATGATGGATAGCTATTTATTCTCGTTGCCACAAAGTCAGTCCTTTAATGAATGCTCCCTACTCCATAACTCTCCTCTTGTGGACTCAGTCCAGCATTTTATTTGCTGGGCTCAGAGGGATCGTCATAACTTTCTCATTCCCAGTGAAGCTCAGTAATTATTAAACTCTGATGGCGTTTATCATATTGTTGCTGTAGGATAGGTTGATAAATAAATACTCTCTATGTACAGATGCACAATCGATAAGATGCACAAACTGAGCTACATACATTTGTCAATTATTATCTATATACCATGCTACAGGGTTGCTGGTTCAAGTCCCCGGGGGGAACCTGGACCATTCTGTGTGGAGTTTGTATGTTCTACCAGTGTCTGCGTAGGTTCTCTCCCCACACACACAGGTCAAGTGTCAAGTGTCTCCAGAAGAAGCATAATGTTTTATAAAAGAAAAAGTATCTCCTTTTTCCAGTGAAAATGTCTACTATAACAGGTATACCTCTTATCTTTAGTCTGATGTGGTCATTTTTCTTTTGTTTTAATACATTTAAGCGTGATGCCACACACCTTTTAATTTGTTCATAGTCATCCTGTGAGTTATTTAGGTTAAACATGAGAGTGCCTTGCTAATAGAAAATAATCAGATAGAGAAAGACAATATAAAGCTCCTTTGACTCATTGCTTTAATTTAGAGTTGAGTGCAAACACTTGTTCTCTTTGGGGGTCAATCCTGCTGAATTCACCCTCTCTAACTGGTGCAAGGACCATAATATATTAAGACCTTCAGCAAGAAAAGGACTCCTGACAATGCTTCCACTCACTGCATCTCTTCAATCACACGGACGGGGGATTAGACTGCCATTTTTTTTTATTTTTTTTTATACCTTCACCGGCTGATTTATGTTGCGAGCCAAAGTCAGCAGCTAGGTGGGGATGCTGCTCAGAGCCGGCGTCCCACAAGCGTCCTTATTAATCTCCCCTTCAGAAAGTGGAACGCTCAGCAGTAACCCGGAGGAGAAGCTCAAACAACCATCAATCCTCCAATGAAACACAGACAGCAATTTGCACATCTTGCTATGTACCCGACAAACTGAGTTTCCAGTGAGGACTGCACTGCCAGCTTCATCTGTGAGAGCAGAGGAGCAGGAATTTTATAATTCATTTGAAATAAACATGTGAGCAGAGAAATGCATGAGACAGAGGCCGGACACTGTCTGTCTGCTACTCAGGAACTCCAGCAAAGCCTCTCTCTATTTCCCAAAAGGAAGGTTTTCCACAAAGGTTTGTTGTGGAAAATGCCTTCTGCTGTATGTCCTGGGCCTAGACACAAAATCTGTAAATTGAAATCTATGAGGAGAAGCAAATGGCCTGATGCTCAAATGGGCTTGTGGTTAATCCAGTTCATAATTAATGATTCTGCTAAATGCTGTCTAACAACTTTATTTAGCACCTTTAAAACCAATATATGTGCTGATGATTTGGAAATAATAAATGCAATTAGAATTAAATGCTTTAACCTATACATTTTCTGCTCAAAACATCTTTTGATTTGATGTAATGAAAATTCATGGCGTGCGTCATAGTCAATCATAGCTGATGAATGTGTTTCCCTTCAGACTTAGCTTCTGCTTATGTACCATACTTTTCCCCTTAAATCCAATATTTGTCACATTTATTCTATGTTCAGGTAAAGGTTAAAGGTGATGTGAGCCAGACAGAGGAGTCACTCATTTAGCTCAGATTCATGCAGGTCAAATGCATTCAAACTTTTAGAAGGTTTCATAAACTTTCCGGTTTGATTAGAATCTGGTTCTGTTGACCTCGCTCAAATTGAAAGGAAAACAAGAATCCATTAAAAGTAGTTAGTTAATCTTCTGCCGAATGCACCGTGAATCAGGCTGAAATGGATGTGAAAATGAATGCAGTAATTTATGTGCAGAGACCCGATGTTGCTGATTAATACTGTGCAACTGAACTCAAACTCTACAAGGTAAAGGCAAAAACTGTCATGAACTGTCACATTCAATCAAATAAATTAATGGAAACACCATCTTCACACATTTTTAAGAACATCATTACCATGATGTTTTTATTATGTTTTAAGTTCTAGAAATATAAAATCAAACATCATATATTTACATATGGAATTAGAGCTTCATCCAGTTCATATTTCATGACAGCCATCCCTTCTTACTGTTTGCTGCTGGCTACATTCCTCATCAGATGCAAGTGGTATAATTAACATCCATCCACAGATACAGCCTGCAGAGACACTTGCTAACCACCGCTTATGGTTGGAGATTTAAGTGAAGCTTTCCAGAGCTTATTTGCTCCAGTGAGTCTGCTGTATCATTCACACCATAATATCTATATAGTAGCCTTTAAGATTATCTTGTTTAGAATTTTTCCTTATCATCAGTTGATCTAGGTCTTTTATTGTCCAAACTTCTATTAAACACCCCCTCACACTGATATTCTATAAATAACTGATGCATTCTTAAACAAAAATTCTTGTCCTTAATTTTTCCCTTTGCTAAATGTAGGTATTATTTCAACAGTAAAGCTAAAATCAGTATAAAATGTATTTGCCCTGAGGAATTTTTTCAGATTGGCGACATGATAATGCTCAGAAAGTCCGTCTCTGACAGTTTTTTTATGCTGACACATTCATTTATTTGGATGCAGTGTGTCCCCCACCATCCAAAAGTTCCTCAATAAGCACATTATAATGGGCTCCTGAGGCACAGGCTTACAGTGGTACCGGGACTCTGCTGTTTCCCCATCTGCTCCTGTCTGATGAAGTCTCTGCTGAGGCCATCAAATCCACCTGCATGTGCTTTGAGCACTCTTCAATGGAAGGATTCCAACCAAGGGAGTCTGACCTTTTGTACAACCGAACCGACAATGTTAGCAGAAGCACTTTGCTGCGGCACAGTTTGGCTGCTACTGTATCAGTTTGTTAGATTTGTAGGGCGGCAGCAAGATTACGCCATAAATGAGTTCAATGAGATGCTTGATGTCTCTGATGTTGGCTCAGTAGAATCCACGCGTTAAACCATTCATGCTGTACTTTTACAGAAATGCAGGGTTTGCAATTTTTTTTTTCAAAATAATCCGATTTGTTGGTAAATTCTCACACAACATAATGATTTATATCAAAATCACAATCCTTCCCACAGGTGGTTAAAATGCTGAAAATTAAAGTGAGATTTTTCTTCTTTTTTTTTTTCTAGTGGAGCTGAAATTCAACCTGGACCAGTATGTGAACAAACGCTACCCGGGGCTGGTGAAGATTGTGAGGAACAGCAAGCGGGAGGGCTTGATCCGAGCCAGGATACACGGCTGGAACGCCGCCACGGCTCCTGTCGTCGGATTCTTTGATGCTCACGTCGAGTTCAATACTGGCTGGTAAGAAAAGGTCATGTTTAACAGGTCTCTGCTTTGTGTTTTTACCAGAGAGAGAGAGAGAGAGAGAAAGAGAGAGTGAGAGGTCATGCTATATCATTATTTTTGAAGTATGTAGAGTTTGGTCTGATCTAAGCATTTTGATCTCCAGTCGCGGCACACCAAGTTTTGACAGAGACAGCACTTCTCAGCAGAATGACCTATTTTATTTGCAAGCTTTTTTTCTCTCGCGTATCCTTTTAAGTTAAAAATAATTGGCTCTGGTTAACATAAAAATGCAGCCCGATTAAACAAACACAACCTGTCCAGCTAAAAGAAATCTCATGACAAGTTGGAGAGCCGAACACTGTGAGAGGTAAGTGTAATTAAAGCAGACGCTCAGATGGTGCGTACTTCAACTTTATTTTTCCCGCGGGCTTCGGGTTCATTTTTCAACTTGAAATTGCTTTTGGGGGTCTCAGTCCTGCTTACGTTTAGCCAAAAACAAGTTACTCAGATAGAAGTAATTGGAGCCTAATTTGAACCTGTCATTCGTTCGAATACGAAATGTATCCTTTGTTCCGGAGAAGATGCCTGGAAGGCAGGAGTTGGGCACAAAGGGAGGAGGACAGCAAGGAAAGGCATTTGGGACCAGTTTTTTAGATGCAATGGAGGCTTTTTGGATAATCAGATGTTAGAAATGCAAACAAATGGCTTTACACAAAACTCTGAGTATGATCATATCTCAAATGGAAAGATACAGACAAAATAACATCTCCGAAAAACAGAGGGTCATCTTTAGTGTGCTATGAAATTCATGTAAATGCCTATAAACCCTAAAACAGTTTTTGTGTAAGGAAAAGCTTGGCTATTAACATATTCCAACTCAATTTTTAGTATATTATTAGTATTCCAGAGCCTAGATGCCTTTACAATGCAAAAACAAACTTCCAGCTGTTCAACGTTTAACTAAATACTCCAGACTTGGAAGTGTAACATATAATCATGTTTGTCCTTGTTTACTACAGAAAGATTCTCCTTGGATTTGTTTTGCAATTAACTACAAACCCTAACCTAGCTGTTGATATCGTAGTGTGTCCCACTCTGATACTGGAAAGGTTTCAATATGACTGCATACTCAAAGTGATGAGCTGACTGTCCCAAAAGGGCTTATTGAATGACTAAGAGAGTTATTCACATTTCTCCCTCTCTCTCTCTCTGCCTATTTAGATTTCAATAGGCCCATTGAATTATTAAGGTCCTTTTTGTGCCATTTTCATTGTCCACATTTTTGTGGGAGCCTTAGATTTGATGCAACCTCCAATGGATTAGAATGTAACACATACTTACCTCACATAACCCGTAATATACTGAGAAGATTCAATTTAATGCCTTTTTCTTTTTTTTCAGTGGGATTTTTTGGTGGATTGCAATACCAATTGTTACTTGTGATTCCATTATTTCAGATGCATGTCAGAAATATCTTAGGACCCTGGCTACCCTCATATCATGGGGAGTGATATACCCTTAAGGCTTTGAAGTCTCACCCCAGCAGTTATGAATAATCTAAAAAAGAAATTTGTGTTCTTCACAGAGGTACATTTTTTGATTCTCTACCGCAAGATTTTTCTTGTTTTTTCTTTCTTTCTTGGTTGTGCCTTTCCATAACTCTTTCAACTCTTTGATTTGCACCCGTCATTTAGAATAGTCAAGAAATTCTGACCGATATGTTGGAGCTTGAATACTTTGACAAGTATACACGTGTAAGATAACAACAACTGGTAAAAAGGTAGATAGGCCCTACGCCAACAGCACAATTAAGTCTTCCTTTTCATAGAATCCTAGCCATAGCATTCATAATGGATTTTTTTCATGTTATGGCTTTTAACAGTGTAACAGCATTCACAGGGAAAGCTCTTCAGCTCCTCAAGCTCTGCGGAACATTGATAACGACCCATTCCTTTGAATGAGTAGTGCAGAAAAACTGTAAACATGCAGGACAGTGGTCCTTGAGGAGCTGGGCTGGGAAACTTTGGCTTTTAACACATAGCGAAGATCTCATAGATATGTTAAGACAGGATTTATATTTGCTTTTTTGTCATAACTCAAACGTGTTATTGCCGCAGGCAACTCTTTGCTTTGATTTCTTAATCAAGAAAAAAGCAAGGCTTAAACCTAAAACCTAAAACCTTAAAGTTACAGTGAAGAATTTTGTTTGCCTGAAAAGGAAAAAATTAACACAAAATGAATGGATCGCATAATTGATTATTTCTGATAGAAAATTTTACAGAAGCCTTATTACAAATACCATGTGAACACAGACCAAATAAAACACACTTATTTATACTGCCATGTCCACAGATCAGGCAAACTGGTGGCCTTCAAGAGTCATACTGTTCTCTTTCAGTTCAATAAGCTGAAATGAAAGCACGAAAGGACAGAGTAAGCTTGACCTTTAAAAAAAAAAGGAAAAAAACATAAATAGACAACCAGTTATTCGTCCGCAGCAACACAGTGATCCCCGTGACCCTTACAGAGAGATGTTTTGATGAACTTTCAGTCCTGACTCTCAGCAGGCTGCTCAGGGCTTGAATTTGAACTACAGCCCTGGAGGCGGCTGACGGCGGGTCACTCAGAGCTGCAGCGCTGCCCGCAGGTGCATTACGGCTGATAATTGATACCCTCGTGGTTCCCTCATCTGTTTCCCCATCTGTTCTCGTCCTGAAATAGAAACCCCACATAACCCCTCTCACATCCACACAGGTTTCAGCCCTCTCAGCCCCCCCACCTCTCTCCTTTTAGTGTAAAGGATGAGGCTTTAGCAAACCAGCTGTCCGACACACACACTGCCCCGACACACACACTGCCCCACACTGCCCCACACACACTCGCTCTAACCATCCTCAACTTCTTTTGAATGCAGTTTTTTTTCTTTCCTTCCGATCTTGATTTGATGTGAGGTTTTATGTACAGCAATCGATAAAAAAGTTGAACACTATCGCTGCGATTTTTCTCAAAGTAGTTGCCGAGTGAAGGTATGCAGCAAAAGGAGAACACGCCAGACATCTCAAAAAAGCGTGCCAAAGCTTCTCGCATATCTTTGTGCGTCTGTGTGTCGGACTGTGAGCGAGTGTGCTCGTGCATTTATTATCTAATTTACGCCTTCAAACACTCGGCTCCCCTGTATTCAGATAAATTCACTTGTGTTATCTACACTTTCTGTTTGTTGGAATGGAAAGATATAGCTATTCATCATGATATGATTATTCACCGTGGCGTGTGTGGTGATAAGTGAGATGGATGGTTGCTGGAGATGCTTTGGTGAATCTCCCTCACTGACCTTGCACACACTGGCTGTGCATACTGAGCTGGAGACGGCACTCTGCTGCAGCACTGTGATTCATTGGCATGGTCTTCTCCCCGAGGGGGTTATACATTTGCAACTGAAATGCTTTACTAGTTCACATTATTGTTAAAGCAAACATAATCGTAGCATGCTGCACAGTGCACTTGAAAGCAGCATTCCATTCAAAACCATGTTGGTCTGCGACCACGCGAGAGGCAAGATGAGGGATAGAGCCTGATTTCAATCCTTTTTTTGTTTCATTAAAGGAAATTAAACTCTTGTCTATTGATAATGTTGTATTCCATCAACTAAATGTTCAGTCCTTCCCTACTAAAACTTTTTTAAACATTCAAATCCGTTTAGAAGTGGTTATCCACTGTGCAACTAACTGGAGCAATTTCTCTCAGCATGCTGTAAATCAACAAGGATTGATAAGAGTGTTTTGTCATGTTGGCCTGCTGCACACTAAGCACAAACACACACCTACAGAGGGGAAATAAAGAGAAATTAATCGTGTTTTAGGTTGATAACAATTAATGATCATCAGCTGTTCCATGCTGAGAGCATGATAAGATAAGATTGGGGTTTGCAGGAAGTCTGTAATAAAAGGCAACCTTCAACTCTTTGAAGAATGTTAAATGCTCTGTTGCTGTGTGGGCTGCAGATTATATCGGTGCCAAAAACACAATGAAATTTATATAACTGGGGGACTGATTAAACTCCTATAATTACTGAATAACACAGGTAATATTTGTCATATTAGTCATTTATGGCTCAAACAGCCTGTCTCTCTCTTTAAAGTTACAGCAGCATCTCGAGAAATTCAAAGCTGCATTATGTTTTTATTTGTGTGTGTTGTTTTCAAATTGTGCTTTTGCCCCCTCCCTCACAGCATCTGGCAATGCCATAATAAAGGTAATTGAGCTGCAGCCACACTGAAAGCTTCAGAGCACAGGACAGGCAAACCTCCAAGACCATAGAATATACATGGATAAATGCTCCCTTTGCGTTTGTATCATATAAACAACATCCTGAACAAATACATTCTAAATAAAGGGAGTAATCTCGCTTCGTGCCATTAGAAACCCCTCTAGTTTATGCCTGTCTGGTTTATTGTGTATGTCAGGTGAGATCAGAGGCCTTAATGAATTTAGATTTTATGCAAGTACTTTCACCTTCCCAAATTTGGATTCTGTGTTGGAGGCAGAAGTGTTGCCAACATTAATATGTGCTCAAAATGTGCACATTTGAGGTACTTTGTTAAACTGCCAGGCAAGAGGACAGTGGACGAGCACACTTTCAATCACTTAATGCACTTAAAAATGGATAGAGGCTATTTCAGGAACAAATTTCTCACCGTGCAAGTCCAGCAAATTATCCCCGTAAGATGCCATTTTAACACATTGTCAAAGCTAAGTGTCGGCTGATGTCAGCACTGCTGAGGACTGATAGGTAGGTGCCACTACATAAGAGTTTTTCTCTTTTTTTCCACCTCTATATAAATGTTCCTATTTACTATGTAAATATAATACATAATAAATGCATCACACCAAAACCAAAGCCAAGGAGTTGGGAATCAACATTTTAAAATGATCTGAACTCAATCATTTCTCATTTTATATATCGATATTTCATTCATAAAATAATTTTGGAAACATCATTGATGTAAAAAACATCTGAGTCTCTTTCTAAATGTATGTGTCCATAATATTAGCTTTGAGATTCGTCAAGAAAAGGCTGTCAAAAATAAGTAGTTTTAGAAAGACGCTGCATACAATTAGCTTTGTATGGGCAGCAAAAGTTAAATTATTACTGGTATACACAGAAATACATGGAAACTATTTATTTCACAGTAAGATGCAAAAGATTAAACTGAGAGCTATACTTGCATTTTAAAAGTTCTGTCTTTGTGGGACTGGAACGATGATGCCTTTTTTTTAACATGATTTTAAAGTTAAAGTATGTGTAGAGCAGACTTATGCCCGACATAAATTAGTAATGGAGTTAGAAAATTAGAGGAATTGTCCCAGTTTTTGTCTTCCAGATTTCTAAATAAGTCAGGAAAAGCGGCTTGTTGATTGAAGGGGTAAAGTTGAGGAGTTTGGGCTGCAGGTTCGAGGCAACTATGCACATACAGATGTGAGATACTTGAGCTTTGTTTGGTGAATGGATTTTATGAAAAGCAACAGTGACAGCCGATGATTATCTTCTGCTGCACCTGCCTTTGAAGTGAACATTTTATAACTTGTAGTTTCACAAGGCATTCACTGGAGACAGCAGGGATTAAACTGTTGTAGTTGGCAAACAGAGCTGAACAAATATTCTCCCCCCACAGCCGTCATCCCTCTCTTCTGCCAACACCTGATGCTGCATATATTTACGCAGTCATTTGCCTGGTGTGTGTGTGTGTGTGTGTGTGTGTGTGTATGAGAGTTTACTTTTTTTAATATTGCTTTTAACTTTGTCCAAAGATGGAAAAGGCCCATGATGTTAATCTCATAAATAACATTATAGTATGAGATAACATGTATAGAATGTTGTGACATACACTAATATCTCACTGTCTTTTACTATCATTATGTAAAAGAATTGTACATTAATTCATTTGGGTCATTTTGAAATCCACAGTGCACTGAAATCCCATCTTTCCTGCATCGGCTGCTCATAAGTTTTGCTGCATTAATTCCAGTTCTGAACTAAAAACGGTCTTATTTTAGTCACTGATGGCTCTGCTGCTTTTGAGGACTAATTTTGGTGTGCAGATGGATCACATTATCTGATAATTCCCCACTTGGGCAAGGCGTGATCCGTAACATATAGGATGTTCATCTGGAAAAGTTGAATTAACAATTTAATTCTGAGCGAGGGAACTTTAATTTCGGGGACTCAATTGATCGAGGAAACCTTCAAGGTCGTGTCAAATCAAGCCAGCTCAACTGAATGTTGTTAAAATAACTCAGTAGATACTATTCCTTGTGACTACATACACATATGCACATGTATAAACACAATCATACATATACATGCATGAATCCATACATATGTATATATTGGGCCTGACTTGAAATGGATTAATGGCCTGTTCATTAAAAGATCTTAACGTTTGGGATGACATGACAGGGTGATCTTTTCAAATCTAAGGAGTAAAGGGGCAAGATCAAGAATCAGCAACATTTCCTATTCTAAAGGAAACACTCGTTAAAATTACATTAGAAAGTCATGTTATATTTTTTAGATTTTGAGGGCTAGAAAAGCCTCCCCTTATGTACCTCACATTGATTTGGTCTCCCACCTCCCATCTATCTCCAGCTACCCACAGGGTTCAAAGTGTTTACATGTAACTGCAGTTGCTGTGGTGCAGCACTGATTTAATGGAAGCATTTAAGCACTCCAGGCTTGTTGGTAATGTTGTCTGACGTATGCCTGCACTGCAGAATATAACTATCCTACATCACATTACAACAGCCCAGGTGCTGAAGCTGCTTTTCTCGGCCTGCACAAGCTGAGATCCTGCCTGGTGACACCACAGCTCTGACACTATTGGCTGAAACCATGTGGAGTATTTTTATTGCTGGGTTTTCAAATTCATTTCTGCAACCAAGATCTTTCCCAAGCAGAATGTAATATATTAAATTCTCTGTTCTGGCAAACTCATTTTCTATATGTACAGGCACCAGACATTGAAGTTTTTATTCACAGCCAGAAGGCTGTCAACACTTTTCAGTTCAAGAGTCACTATACGATTTCTGAAAAAGAGGTCTTCGATTCTTGAATGAATTTAACTTTTTTTTTTTTTTTCAAATGTCCTCAGTCGCAATCCCTCCTCCCCCTTAGTGGTTGGAAGCAGGTGACTCGTGAAAAGCTCTGATTAACCTCTAGGAGGAAGTGGAACACTTGGACTGTGCATAATGCATTCAACCACCAAGAGAAATGACCCCAACACTTAAAGCAAAGAAAATAGAAACTGTTCTGAGAGTTTCTTGAGGGTCGCTGGTTCGAGAGGACATCCAAAGACCACAGTATGCAGTTTCAAACAAGAAGAAAATGCAGAAAAGCAAACCTGCTGATTTCTATTAGGTGTTTGCATTATCAAGGCCAAGTTATAAGAAAGCTCATCTGTGTAACAATTAATGAATTTAGAGTAAGTCCAGTCCCACAGATCAGCCTCTCAGAATAGCACCTGCACTACTTTCACCAGTCTCTCTTAAGTTAAAAAATGATGGCTTACTCTAAGAACTGCTTCATTGTAACTGATGTCCCCCAATACAGTTACATTTAGATCAATTTCCTTTGTAGTCTCTGTCCTCTACCTTCACACGATAAGGAGTCATTCCGCGTTTGGGAGATAAATGGTTTTCACTTTTTGAAGAAAAGTGGATGGGGGACAGTGGGAGTAGGACGAGAATCAGGGCAGAGACATGAAATAGTCAGTGGGTGGGGAGATAAAAAACAAAACAGCGGGGCTGTGGGAGTTTCCTTGATGGAACCATTTATCACAATTGCAGACTGTTCTCATAAATTTAGAAGTATGTCATGTGAAGATCGCTATGTTTAGAGATCATACAAATGTAGCCAGTGCCCATTTGTGTCACTCTGTAAGCTGTTTGCTGCGGGTATTGTTCTAAACAGCTTAGGGAGGTTAGCTCATCATGTGGGATTTTAAAAAGAAACCGGTCCACAAGACTCTGCGTCTTCAAGCAGTCATCTGAAGCAGCAGCAGGGCTGACGTGTTGCCTCATAAGACCAATTAAACTGTTTCAGCCACACGGAAAGAGGGAAACCTTTAGAGTGAGATGATCAAAGTATAAACTACCATTTTAGGTCATAGTAAGTTATTCTTCTCTTCGGTTTCGTTTTTGGGTGTCGGTTTGGAGCCGAGGGGCTTTAGGTTAAAATGAATAGAGAGTTCAGAATGACAACAGGTCTATTTTCTGTGGTCTAATGTTAGAAATCTCATCTTTAAAAAAACAATGTTGCCAACTTTTAATGTATTAGTCATTTATTTAAACTGGCAGGCCGTCAGTTGGCCCATGTCTGCAAAGAATATGGTGCAGAGAAGGCCCCGTCAAACTGAAACAAGAATATGAGGCAGATTTTTTGTCTCTTACCATTTAGCTTCAATCAGATCAACTCAGTGGAGTCAGTTTGTGAAATGAACCTCTTGCTCTGGTTGCTTGGGGGCAGAGAGAATATACCTTTTTCCTTCTTTACTAAATAAATATAGAATATAGAAATAATAGTTCTCACCTTGGATGCAGCTTTATTATTATTGATATTATTATTGCTAACTCCTTAAGCAACTGATATCGGTAAAGTATTCATGAGTATAGGCAGCAACATGAAGCCGGGATGAATACAATCTATCATATTCCACATCTCTGCAGGATCCAGTTGCCAAGAGATACAGCGAGTTACTTGGTCATGAAACCACTTGGTTTAAAATACTTTGCCTTTTCCCACTGAAGAGCCACTCTTAAAATATTTTGAGTAGAAGTTCTGTGTTTGAGGTAGGCCAGCGAGTGTCTGACAAGCAAGACTTCTCTTAAAACTAAAGTTAAAACGTCTCGGGTTTGAAGTTTGAAAAAGCACAAAAAGTGCGTGCTCTTCCCAGGAAGCCTGTATTTTTCCGCCCGGTGTGTTTCGCCTCATTGGGTTCAATTTCTTATCAAGTCTGCTCAGGGGAAAAGTGTCACTTTTTGACGTTTTGTTTTCCGTGAGCAGTTGATATAAAATGGGATTTGTTGTTGCATGGAAAATTCATTTTGCAAAACCTCCACATCATGTACAGTCGAGGCAAGCGGGTCCTGGAAATTGTTTTGAATGTTGAATAAATGCTGATTTGACAGACTGCTCTGCCATTGAAAAAAAAAAAGCAAATTCAGAGGAAAGCTGCTCCTGACATAATTTTCTGCTTCCAGACCGAATAACTTTCCGTACAGGTTGTTTCGAAAATATTCTGATTGATTTCCTCCTTTCATTTTCCATTAACAGTTACATTTATCATCGAGTTTGCCTCGATTAATATCGTTGACATGATTTTAGTCCCAAACTACACAGGTCAGAATGAATATTGTCATGTTTTGGGGGGGTTTTTTCGGTTTGCTCAGCGGCTCATTGATGGATTCTTTTCCTTCATTAATCTTCTGGACCCGTATAATGAAGCATATGTCATTTGTAAAGTCGGCTCTTCTCTCTGTCGTTTCTTTTTTAAAGGGCTGAACCCATTCTGACCAGGATGAAGGAGGACCACACCCGTATTATCCTGCCTGCCATCGACAACATCAAATACAACAACTTTGAGGTGCAGCAGTATGCCAACGCCGCCCACGGGTACAACTGGGGTTTGTGGTGTATGTACATCATCCCTCCCCAGGAGTGGCTGGACAAGGGGGATGAGACAGCCCCTATCAGGTGAGTGCATCAGCTGGTGAACAGCATCCATTATAGATTAGGATGTTTGATGAAATATGGATGGCCTTTGGATATGATTTATTCATGTGTGGGGCCATCACATTCAGGTGCTCCATCCTATGGTGTGCCACACAAATAAAACCTGCCCGCGGTAAACTGTCTCATTAACATGATGAATATCTTCATTTCGATGCAGGACCACGAGGCCTTGGTGATGTGGTGTCATTAGTGTAATTGTGTGTTGAATATGAGCAGGTTATTTCATTACACCCCTTCTGATTGGAAAGACAGCACAAGCTTGAAACGTGTTTCTAAATGACAGAGGTTTGATAAGAAATATGACTGAAATTGCAGGGGTGAACACAAAATTATACAAGTTCTGAGGTTATCATTCGGTCGATGGGAGCTTCAAAGGCCAGTTGCGTTACAACGCACAAGCAAGCATGGAAAGAATTTTGTATCAAGCTCTAAAAAGTTATCTTGAAAGTACTAGCTTGACATTATTTCCAGACTCTCCTCCATCAACTTAAACCCTTAAACAGTCTTGCATGGTTTTGAATTTTGACAAAAGTTCATAACCAGTTCCACCACTTGGCATTAAACAAAGAAGATGACACATTGGGTCTGAACATGGGATGTCTTCTAAAAAGGTAGATGAAAATTATTTGTTACAGAGTAGCAGCTGCAACACCGGGACCGGAGAACAATAAAATAAGGGTTACAGACATCGTAAAGTCTGTTCCCTTTCCACAATGACATTATGCTGCCAATGTACAGATTGCCCGAGGGGCCAGCTGAAGTGTGTCGGCTGTGTGGGATTTCTATCGGAAATCATTGCCCGCTTGTTTCCTCAAGACTCGTGCCCATCAGCAGCTGAGGCCCTGACAGCCTCTGAGCTCTGTCTCAAAGCCTTTTCTAGCTACAGATATCTCTGAAAAGATTCAAAAGCAAAGATAGGGAATGGGTACAAGACGCCAGGAAATTTGTCTCGTTCTTTAAAAAAATACAAAGAATTCCAACCATTTTGGAAACGTAGCAGACATAGGTTTTCTGGGGCAAGATGTATCGTTATTGACAGAATAGAATCGAAAGATAAAGCGAGACAGCTTCAAACTGGTATTGATATGTTTATAGACGTGTGGGATCTTCCACTGAATCAAAGGAAAGCCATTCAAAAGTATAAAGTCGTCTCTGGAAAACAACTGACCTGAAATATCACTCGACTATGTATTTTTTAAGCAGTCTTAAAAATGCAAACACATGGAGATCTGACCTGATGATATTGTTTTATGATATTACCTGATACTTTTAGTAACCAGCAGTTCTTCCCTTCAGAGAGGCGAGAGCATCTGACACTTATTTATCTTATATATTTTGTATATATATTGCAGGTATTAAATGTCCATCTGATAAGGAAATGATAGAGTGTGCAAAAGGAGGATGAGCCCCGCCGGCTGACCATCTGCACTCTAAAAAGAACTGATCTTTGTGACATTATATGGAAAACGAGAAAACGATTGCATCTTTAATCTGTCAGCTGAGCTGTTTTCATTTCTGTTAAAGCATAAAACCCCACATCCTGAGACTGAAACCTCTCCATTGAAAATGGAAAAAGTCAAGAGGTGATTTTGAAAGCCAATTAAGATACTGCGTGTTATGAGGCTTTATTTTCAGGATTTTCAGCTGAACAGCTGGCTCTGACTATTCTCGTAATTGGCCTCGGTTAATTGGTTTTCGCATGGGAATTACTTTAACATTGTTTGATCGCTTTGCACAACAGACAAATGAGACTACCTCTAAACTTTACGACAAATTACACCCCCCCCCCACTTCATTTAAACATCCAGCATAGCACCTTATCAAGGGGGTGGACATTTCTTTCATAACTTCATTCCACACATGCTGGGCTGAAAATAAATTACAGACAAACCCAGCGTGAATTTTATCTTGACCACCAGCCCCCAAAACCTAATGGTCCCAGGCTTCTTTTCTGTCGCTGAACAATTCACCTCTGGGTCTGTTGCATTCCCACTGAGCTCTGAGGTTCAGAAATAGATTAAGCAATGATTAAGCAAATGAGGCTGGAATTTGTCCCCCCCCCCAAATCTGAACAACTGAAGTGCCGACAGTAAGCAGTAACTCCAGGAGGAGCACATCTGTCCATGCTGCACACTGTTGTGGAGATTTCAGCGTGTTTCTTTGCGCCATGGTGCTGTGAGGAAAAAACACAATAATGAAGCGGAATTATGTCTTTCTCACCACGAGCGTGGCTGCCGGTGCTGTCAGACTGGTGTTACTCGACCACCACAGTTTGCGCTGTGTGCTGTGTGTTCTTTTTCACACTCCACAGTGGAAATGCAGCCACTCACAGAGGTGTGGACATAGAGCTTAATTCCCCCAGATTCAGTTAGTGTTACATGTTTCTTTTGAGTTTGAACTGTTTTTTTTATTTCTGCCTTGAAGCAAAACCACTGGCAGTCAATGAAAAATTATTTTTTTATTGCTCTGCTTCCCATTCAGTGTTGGGTTTACAAACAGTTATTCCTGCAGCAAAACCCAAAGTGAGCAATTTTTTTTACTCATTCTAGACTGATTGGGGTTATTAGATATTAGCAATCTAAAAATAACATGAAAAATGCCAGAATTAACCAGCTCTCCATCCCTACTGTAAAGCTTTAAAGACGGCTTTTGTCTTTTTATCAGGGCTCTGTTTGGGGCAGAATTTGGAACCCCTTGATAAACACGGTTCCCTGAAAAAGCTTCCCGTGGTTAACACGCAGCAATACAGCGAATATAGTGAGGTTTCAGCCTCATTGTCACAGGCTTCCGACTGGAGTCTGTGCTTAAACACAGAAACAGCACTTACATCTCCAGGAGGCTTTTTCCCCTGCAAAGTTTGTGTTGTACAGAGAGGCAAGGTAAGTCACTTGTCAAGAGAAGAGAAGAGATGAAACGTACAAGGCAGAATATGTGCTGTGCCTTTCTGTTTTATCTACTCAGCCAGTGCACATAATGGCACTTGAAAGCCTTCCTGTCACCCACCTATGATTTAAACAAGACTCTGTGCAGCTACAGAATGTCAGAAAGTAAAAGTGTACATCACCTGGCATGAATAATAACACTCTGCGCTAATTTTGACGCATGGCACGTTTAACTACATCTGTCAGTAAAATAATCACAATGAAGGTTTTGTTTTCTTTATAGTGTTTCATAAAAACTCCCTAACCCACCACATTTAACAAATACTTTGAAGTCTTTAAAGCTTTAAAACCATTCATGAGTAAAAGTCCTGTAAGCCTTCCCATTTAATTGTCCAGCTTCTTTTCAGCTTCATTAATAGTCTGAGGTAGGATTTTTCCAAATCTCACTCAAAAGTGATGGTCCACATGGTGCTTTATGAAGTCCAGTCCTAAAATCACCTTTCTCTTTGGCTCACACACTGTATGGCTCAGACTTTCCCTTTCAATGTAGAGTCGATAAATCACACCGCAGCTCCAGATGCACTTAAAAGTTTGACCTGATGCTGCGTCTCTCAGACCGAAGCGGCAGGGAAACGCATTTTCCCTCTGACAACGTGAGGTTTTGTGTGTGTGTGTGTGCGTGTGAGTGTGTGTGATAACATTTGTGGTGCCTGTAACGCAGGCAATAGACCGGAAAGATGAATCAATCTGCTCTTTGGTTGATGCAGGAATATAATTAAGCTCAAGACTAACTATGAGGTTTGAATCCTAAGCTCTTAGGGCCTGACAAGATGACAGCGGAGAGCAGAAGTCCGGGGCAAAAATTCAGCCTCAGCTCATTATTTTTGTCAAATTCCTTCATTAGCTGAAAGTCATTTTCCACAAAAAGGGAGTTTATAAGCACTCAGTACGCTAGTTGGCAGTGACGAGAGTAAATCTTCTTTTTAGCGTATCAACCTCTTTGATCGCCAACGCCCCATATTTTAATCCTCACTGCTGCAAAGAAATGCTTTTGACACTTGACCTTTGTGATGTGTATGACGGATGGCAGCCTTTTTTCAGAAGATACAAACATGAGTCATCATGAGTGAGCGTCCTAATAGTCTGTCTGCAGAGGCTGGCCTCAAAACACAACAGCTGTTTTCATTAATGGGGAGTCGACTTAAATCCAGGGGCACTTAAGTACACAAATCCAGAGCCGATATTTCTATTTGCATGCATGGTTTTTATGATCTCTGTAATATTTCGATCCATAACATTTCATTTTTCAGCATCTCCCAGACTGGTACCTGGTTGAGAAATATATAAGGTCAAAAGAACATGCTGGGGGTTCTATGTGCTTAAATAGACATGTTTACCTTCATTTAAACATATTTTCTGATATCGTTCAAGCCTCTAACTATGCTTAAGAGAAGGCAAGACTTGCAGGACTGACCGCAGTAGCCACTGTCTGCTGGATTGTATCCTGACATTTGTATCTTTGTTTTATTTGTTTTTTTAATCTAGTCTTTTCGCTTTTACAGAACTCCTGCTATGATTGGGTGCTCCTTTGTGGTAGATCGGGAATACTTTGGTGAGATTGGCCTCCTGGATCCTGGCATGGAAGTCTATGGAGGAGAAAACATCGAGCTGGGCATGCGGGTAAGGCTGTGCAATTAGTCAAATAATGGCCAACTGGAAACCTGCAGAATACATAGAATAAGATTTTCCTAAAAAAAAATTATTAGAATATCTACTCCTTTATTCTAGTCACTTTGTCGAGAGAAATTTTATCTTCATTAGGCTTTTGCTCAATTCTGGATCATTTGAATACAAGGTTGGTAAAAATGCTAAGTAACAAATTCAGGCTTTTGGAGGCCTACGCTTAGATGTGCAGTCTTGTTTGGACTGATTAGAATAATGTAGTTTTAGACTTTTCAACAACTTATGATGGAGTTTTTCTGTGTTCTCCAGCTGGTGGGATAAGCTTAAGTTACAAAACCCACGGGCGTCAACAGAAGCCATGATTAAGCTTTGCAGTTTCTTAGATGGAAATAAAGAAAAAAAATCCTCCCCCAATGCAAATTTTTAGCCAACCCAAAGGCTCTTAAGCCTGTATACCGAAAATGTAAATTTCTTTTACTGCTGCTTTGAGTTGAATTTAACGCTTCATGTGACCGAGGGGCCTGCTGAAGAATTGGTTAGCTTTTAAATTCAGAAAATGTTTCTCTCCAGCCAAGTGGAACCATTCTGAATCTAAACGCACTCCTTGGGCTTATTGGAATGAGAAAATGCTTGAAAGATCCCACTCTTCATTTAACGCCATCCCTCCGTCCACTGCGACATCTTGAGATGGTTTCAACGACACCTCTGAAGTGCGGGCTGCCTTTGCAGAAGCACTTGAACGGAAACTGGAGAGTGGATCTTGGTTTACAAATTGCTGCAGTGTTTTATTGAAGCCGGAGACATTTATGGTTGTTGATGACCATTTCAAAGCCCGCGATTATTCCACACTGAGCAGTTTTCCTATCTACATAAATAGCATTTTTTTTTATCATTACTTTTTTACTGCCAGGTACAGTAATGAGACAATCATCTTGTGTGATAACTCAGCAACTTCTATTATGTGTCAGCCCTCAGTGGCCTCCCCTAAGGTTACACAGAGTTTTGTCATTCACTGATGTTGCTTATACGTACCTAACAAACCATGCCACTGTGCTGGATAAGGTTTGTAGCCGAGATCAATTCAGCCACAGCAGCTAAATAAACCCAGGACAAGTCTATTGAACTGTGTGAAATAATGTAACGACAAGCTGGTTTTGGCTCCGGCGCATAGGAGGCCTCTTTTCCTATAAAGAATATTTACTTTCAGTATTTTGAGTCGTAAAATGAGGGACAATGTCCCGATCTTTGAAAACACAATACCATCGCAAATGCAATTACCTCTCCTCCTGTTTGGCACGTCTGCCGAAATTTAATATGTGCCTCGTGAAAAAAAAGAGCCATTCAGCACATGCACGAGCCTGAATAAGAATACCATCAACAACAAGCTCCAACCCTTCATAATATACAGCTGCTAATGGAATGGACTCGGGCTGCTGGCAAGTGGACTGCAATTACTCCTCCAAGGCTACTCGGCAGCTCATTGTACTGAGCTGAAGAGTTGCCATTCGGGATAGGTTTGATTGACACAAACATGCTTAACAATTAGCCGAGGCAAATCACAAGAGCAGAGTCTGCCCGGGATAATCTGACTGCAGGGAGGGAAATTAAAGGCAAGGTTCAGATGAGCAGTTTATTTGCTTCCAGGAGTTAAAGAACTGGCATCTGGCGTTTGCCAGCACAGAGGCCAGGATGAGCGGCGGCTGATTATGCAGAGCCCTCGCAGAGAGCAAAAGGATAGAATAAAGCTAATGGATGGAATAATTAATCAAAGGTCTGACTGAATTTTTCTTTTTGTAACAGCAGTAAGTAATTCATGAGGCAGAAACGGGAATAAATCAGCACAGACTGCCAAAAGACGCGCCACACACAGTCTAGTGAGCGATGGATACGTGTAAAGGCATCCAGTGACACATCCCCAGATTTACATCTGGAGAGATTTCAATCTCCGTCATCGATAAATAAATAAGATTCAGGTCTGTGTTGAACAGAATCAGTAGCTGGTGCTGCTTAACATGTTGAAGAGCTTTTGTTTTGGACCTCCATGAGCGGCGACAGACTCGGTTACCTCTGTGTCGCGTTGTAAATCTTGTCTGATCTTATTGCTTACTGTGAGGCTCCATTTGCAAACAGAGAAAATGGCTTGGGACAGAAATGATGAATTCTGCCAGGAGTGTCAATATGAGTTTATCTCGTAATGTGTCTTCCCCCCCCCCTGTCATTTGGGCTCTGTGCTGATAGAGCGTCTCAGGAGAGTATGGCATGGCCTTTCATTTTGAAGTTTATCTGTAATACGGGGGTACATCATCAAACATAGTGTTGCATCTAATGTGCAGTTGAGTCTCTCACACAGCTGAAAGAACCACCAAAGCAGAGTATGACACATCTCTATGTGTACTGTATATAAAAATGCTGTTGCTGGCTTTCTTAGATTTAAGAATGACTGCACTGGATAAGGGCAATTACAGAGTTAAATTTAATTAAATCAGTTAATCTTAAAATCATGTTGTTAAATGGGGAAAAAATGGCTGTGATACACATGCATTTTATTTTGCGTCTACATTGGAAAAATGCACAGATCTTTAAATGCAGTTGACGATTGCTGTGAAAATGCATGTGAAAAAGACACGCATGCATCATGTTTTTAATAATCCCACTGGAACAAAATCAAAACAAGACACAGAAAGTGCAAGTGAATGAAAACCGAACTGGATTTCAACAGGCTTGAAAACTCAACGGTTTTCCTTTTATCTCCTGATTCAATGCAAATCTGACATAACTCTTCATGACCTGCACACATCTCACACAAACATTTCAGCCATTTAACCAAATTATGATTGCTACTACTTTGCTGCCAGAAGTACTAATCTGAGTGCAGATGAGCTCACCCATGAGCTAACTACGCCATTACAAAACCATCCAGGCTGCTTTATGAAGTCTGTCTAAATGTTGTGATCTTACAGGGTGTGTCTTGATAACATTTGATGAACTCTCCTGGAACTCTTTTCAGGGGTAATGAACTTTTTATTTTTTCTATTTGAGGCCCTGGCTGAATAACCACCTGGAGCGGGGCTTGAAGCATCTGGTCGTAATCTTCCTGTAGTGAGGAGAATTAAGCTAATTAAGGTCTAGCAGTTGGAGCATCTAAGCAGGAGTGGGACATAATTCTACTTCGCTTTGCTCCCGTCATTGGAAACAGGGCTTTTACATGATAAGAGTTTATTCTTAAACATTCGGAACTGTGTGTCTTTTTTTTTCAATAGGTCTCCATAAGATAACCTGCTGGTTTATCCTATTCGTTTGACCCATTCATTCATTCAGACTTTTAACTGGTAGTTTATATGAGACATTGAATGTTTCCATTCTGTGGTAATAGTATAATAATCAATATCATGAATGAACAACCTGGAAACCAGTTCTTGGATCATGGTTCCTTGGATGATTAATAGGTTTGTTATTTAATTAAATCCACAGAGGTCAGTGAAACAACTACCTACATGGAGGTTTTTTCTTTTTTCTTCTCTAGGAATTAACAGGGATAATAATCATACCATATCAGAAAAAATATTACTAGAGACAAAATATGTTTTTTCTTCATGTTATCCTTGTGTCTCTGTGTGGATTTATTATTTGTATTTAAACTTAAGCTTCAGGTACATGATTGCCTGTTAAAATAGGATTCATGTCCTCCTTTTGGTAGAAAAAACAAAGCACTGTGATTCTGTGTTACCCCAAAGTGAAACTTCAACTGATAATCTTTTTTCATCATAGATTAAATCTTTGCTAACTTAACCCTCTTTATAAGATCTGTGTTTTTGGGAGGATCCAGTCTACAGTTCTCCATTTCAATACTAAGGGTAATTTCAGCCAGCATTCATAAGCTAATTTTAGCTTAAAAAAATATGTTGTCTTATGATAATCATTTGGAAACAATAAGAGCAGAAAAAGAGCAAATAGGACAGTTGAAGTTGCACATTTTCTTCACATTTTGATGCTGCATCAGCGCCTCAGATCCATAATGCTTTGCTGGGCTGCTACATCGGCACCTGAAGTGTCAAATTAATTTAACCTTTGAGCAGCCTCCAGATCCGTAGCCCAATTTATGCTGGTTCAAAGCCCTTTAGGATTTGGTTTGAAGGTGAAAATGTTTCTTTGGATTTTTTCACAGAGAGCATAAGCACCATAATTTCACGTTTTCCTGCTTAGAACATTGGTTATTCTGAATTAAGATGTAAATTCACTTCACAAATAAGCAATCACTAAAAACATATGCTGAAAAGAAAATAGACTAACGGCCTTTTGCAACATAGAAAATCAATACTGGCTGCATGGAATGAAAGAGGCAATACTGACTCCACAAAAAATTTGCTGGCTATTTGTTCAGTCGTGGAATGATTGCTTTTCTCATCCTCACAAAGTGAGCATACCTGCTCTCCCCTGAAATAAAATCCCAACATAATGTCCTTTCGCTGGTGCCCTGGCTTGTCGTATAAAGTGATGCCAGAAAATTAAGCTGCTGTAGGAACACTGTTTCTATTCCAGTGTGCTGTGGGATTGCTTTTGATTTTCGAGGTTTTGCTGCATTTGTATTTTCAGTCCCAGCAGGTATTTTGCAAAATTTAACCAACACATAAACAGCTCCTCTGTGTTGGAAAGGAAACTGTTTTGTGACATGCTTGCACTTGGATGGCATTGGAAAACATGCTAATCACTGTTTGGTGATTTAGAGCTTTTCCAATTTTTCCAAAAATTATATTTAATCGAAGTCATTCACAGGATCGCCCCATTCATTTACCTTAATTCAGCCCCTCTGCTTTTTCTGTTACTGCAAGCTTTTGGGTATTCCAAATGAAAAACAAATTGAAATGAGCCTGAATCCCTTCGAATCACTGTACAAACAATTGCTACTCATGCTGTTTTCTGCAGGTTGTTTCCAAATAAACTTTTAGGGACATTGGAATCCTATATTTAGTTTGGTAAATTGTATTCATGTTTTTGAGTCCTTCGACCTGCATTTG